GTCCTTAAAATCCAATATTAGCATCAACAGAGAATAATCTATGTTCCTTTCCTTAGAAAATGAGAATAATAATACATCAACATCATGGGTATGTCTATCAAAAACTATGGCAATAAATTAATTGACATGATGTAACTCTAACAAAATTAAAGTGGATCATGAATATTATCAAAAGAGATAGCCTAAATACTTAACTACCTTTGTTTTATATAATTTGCCCCATTAAAAAGAGAAATAAAATCTAGAGAGTTAAAGTGATTTTAAAACCTTTAATTCTTCTATCAGTAAAAGGTGAAAATGGCTTACATATCTAATGCATGCATTCATCATTTTTCTAGATTGCTTTAATTAAGTCTCCAGCAAGATCAGTTAGTGTGGAGGATAGATGTGGAATTCATTTTAACAAGAAAATGGGTTCCTGAAAGCATCATGAGAACAGCAGTGACATGCCCTCATTACATCTCTATGTTGATCGCTCCAGCAACATCATTCACTATATGTCAGTCTTGCTTAGCCAAATCCAGAAATATTAAATTCATGCACACGAAGGACCTCTTGTACCCACAGTGCTAAGCAGGTGAGACAGAAACATTCCCAGGTTTATTTATAAATAATGTTATTTATACTTTATTGGTTTTAATTTTTACTTTTGTTACCTTGGTAGTGTTTATGATGTTGAGTATTTTGTTTTTAAGCCACTTTGCTTTCTCTTCTTGTGTGTGTGATCTTAATATTAATAATCAAATAGTCTAAATTCTCCACTGGAAAATTTGTATATGTTGGGAGGTTGGGCGATATTCCATTCATTGCCTTTGATATACGAGCATAATACAATGACTTCTTCACATTGCATGAGCATGCCAACCAAGTTGAGGCTGAGGGATCCAGCTAAGACACAGGTAGTGTTTTCATCCAGTGTGCTTCAAGACCGTCATAAATTATGGCTGTTGGGGTATTGCCAAAATTCTAGAGCCAATTTTCATGGGTAAGAGGACTTCAGGAATATCTGCTACTACTCTACTACTCAATTAGCTAACCAATATCACCCTTCTCTGTAACAGTGGCTTTATACACAACTTCTGCTCCATGCAGCATAACAAGCATTTTACTTTTAGAAGACTAAAAAAGGATGTCAGAGAAGTAACACTACTAAAGGCAGAAGTAAGTCAAACCACTTCAAAACTACTTGTAGAGTTTCCATGCACCCAGCCCTGAAACTGAGACAAACCTCAATTTTCTTACATTCATTTTTGAAAGTTAAAGTACACAGTAAGGCTGACCATGAAGCATATCTATACCTTCATGGATAGAAAATTTAAGTAACACCCCACATTAGTTTGGCTTTGGGTTAATGAATAATCTACCTCATCTTCTCTTTACTTCTGTGATCTCTACACCTTCATCCATCAAATTTAGATCTTCCGAAGATACTGGGATGTTATATTCATCAGAGCAGAATATAGTGAACTTTAGGAGCACCTCACATGGTGTTCTTACAGAATGGAATAATCTAGAGTCCTGGCCACACCTCCTTTAAGTAAATCCCCAGCTGGACTGGTTAGACAGGGCAAATGTTCACATGATTTTCTGGGACACCATAGTCAATGTGCTTCTTTGATGAATGACAGAAGCTTTACAAAACACAGTATTTAAGGAGCTGGGGCTGCAAACATGGTCTGCTTTGTTCTCCTGAGAACTGGCTCCTGTCTGAAACATTTCTCTATTGGAAGGATCTGTCTTTTCTCCTCCATCCACAGCCCTCAAGCTACAATAACAAGCTCATGGTGCTATATATATATATATATATATATATATGTTATGAATACTCTTTTATGAGTATTCCTCTTTGAACTCACTTTTCTTGAAGAAGAAAAATAGCCTTACACACTGCTGACTTGACACTCATATCAAAATATTCATACTGTTGTCTTAGGGGCTATAAAATGCTCCAAAATGCACAATGAAAAATTCCTAGTATGGGATAATGTGTATGGCACAACACCTCTGCAACTGTAATTCTCAAAAAGTAATGTTTCTGACTGGCATGAATTACACAAAATGAATTTCAGAGATTACTATCAAATTTGTGCCCTTGATGACATCCTCATTGATTCCCTGGGATTCCTGCAGACCCTTAATGATACAGAACAGTGCTCGGTTGCAAAGCAAAGACGCTTTTGTTGCATTAAGCTGCTTATGTTTTTCCCTTTCACAATACATCCTCCAACAGCCCCTAAAAATAATTCTATAAATGCCAATTCAACAGGTTACAGTACCTCTCCTATTAGTTTCACTCTCCCTCAAAAGGAGTTTATCATTTCGCTTTATAATTCTGTCTGCTGCTCTGTCAACAAAGTTCAGATTCCTGGCTAAAACTGTTTTCCTGCTGTCTATTATTGATTAAACCATGCATCATTAGTACAGCTACTTATTTTCTGGTGTTAAAAGGAATATGTCTTCCACAAACTCATCCTAACTATTACATACGTAACATTAATCTGGAAAACTCAGTTCCCTTTAATCCTACTTTGTGCTTAGATTCTTTAGCTTTGGAGCCACTTGCATTGATTTCTGTTGCACTCAGGCTGATGCAAAAATAGCCTTTGGTATGGCAGATAAATGAATCTGCATAGAAGTGACATGACTTTGCTCCCTAACACTGTGAAGTGAATCTTAGCCACGAAGGCTGGAGAGTGTGACCCAGACCGAGAGAATGACCTAGGAAATGTTCAATAGGCAACTGTCACTTTGTTTAACATTAACAATGTCGTGGGAAGTTCTAGAGCATAGAATATGTGTGAGCTTTAAGGTCAGACTCTCAAATTCTGGGCTCAGATTTCACTGTTGTCACATATTAGTTACATGATTTTGAAGAACACTTAACTATTCTGTACAGCATAAAATAGAGGTGGTAATCCCACCTACCTTCTGAGGTGGTATGAGGATTGCACTGGCAAAGAATACACAAGGCACTTATAGTATTGTCTGTCACTCAGAATTATGGTTCAATGACTGTTTGCTCCTTTTTTTGTTTGTTTGTTTTGTTTCCTGTGTAACAGCCCAGGCTGTCCTGGAACTTGATTTGAAGATCAGGAACTCGCTGAGATCCAACTGAGCATTTGTTCCTTTTTTTGTTTGTTTGTTTGTTTTTTTTTGTTTTGTTTTGTTTTGTTTTTCAAGACAGGGTTTCTCTGTATTGCTCTGAAAGATGTCCTGGAACTAGCTCTGTAGACAAGACTAGCCTCAAACTCACAGAGATCTGCCTGCCTCTGCCTCCCAAGTGCTGGGACTAAAGGTGTGCGCCACCAATGCCTAGCACTGTTTGCTCTTGATAGGGAAGTAGCTCAGCTGACAGAGTACTTGCCTAGCATGTACAAAGCCCTGATGTTCCTTCCCCACAACCTCAGCACCTGCATAAAGTAACAAATGTCTGTACTGTCAGACATAAACTTCAAAGCCAAAACTTCAAAGTAATCTCACCTACATAGCCACATAGTGAGTTCAAAGTCAGAATGGCATAAATAAGACTAAGGTCAGAATGGTCAAAAAGGTCAGTGGGGTGGTGAGATTGCTCAGTGGTTAAGAATGTTTAATCTTACAGAGGACCCAGGTTTGTTTCCCAGCACCCACATGGTGGATCACAACCCTCTGTAAAGTTTCAGAGAAAAGGACAATGTCTTTTGACCTCCTAGGGCATCAGGCGCATGCATGGTGTACTTGTATACATACAGGTAAAACAGTCATACAGATAAAATAAAATAAATAAATCTTTTAAAAGTTTTAAAGTTAAGTTACAAAGATATAACATCCTTATAACCTGAGAAACAGCACTGTAAAATAAAAAGAAATCCTAGAAAAATCTGTGTGAAATATGAAATTACAATGTTTATATAGTATAGTGACTCTTGTTAGTATCCAGGCATCTGTAGTGGCCTGTCCTTGGGGTTCTGACAGGATACACCCTTAGCTGCAGCCACTAAGAGCACCACCTGTGTACATTCACTATGTTCCCTTCTAAAAGGGCCCTTCCCTCCTCCCATCCTCCCCCTCTTTCTTTCTCTCCCTCTCTTTTCTCTCTCCAGCTGTTCCTGTCCCTGAAGGCTGATCTCCCCCATCCCCTTTCCCCTTTCCCCTTTTTATGATCCATTTTAATAATAATAATAATAATAATAATAATAATAATAATAATGCCCTCTACTTAAACTCTGTCACATGGCATCTTTCTGAGTGCTGCTTTTTAAAATTACAACTATACTGTTGTACATAATTATGAAATCGCATAATTAAAATCATATATTTTCTTTTCCTACCTAAAACTTATATTTTAGCAAGTAAAGTACTTTCCATTTCTTCCTCTGTTGTTAAACTTAAAGCTAACAGTGTTTTACAACTACCTCAGTTTATATCACTCTCTATTTGCCCTCAGAAAAATAACTGAATATTTATTTCATGGCTGCCCTGAATACAAAACACATAGAGAGTTAGTTGGCCCCAACTAACTTCATTCATATGGAATGATCAATTTCTTGAAGTGTTCATTTAATCAAGATCGTTATTTATAGATAATTGTTTCCTTTCTCTAAAGATAATTCAGGATACCTAAGTGTCTCCAGAGAATAAAATGATATACTTTACCAAACCTGAATACCAAAAAATCTAATTGCAAGAAAATTATCAGTTTATGTGCTACTATTATTATACCTTTAACATTAACTCTTGAGGATACACTTGGTGATCTTTTTTTGTCTTTATCTCAACCCAAGATAAGATTTGATTATACTTAGATAAGAAATATATACAATAAAAACCAAGACAAACTGAAGAGGCAATAGTGAGTCTGTTAATAAAATGGTATTATACTTTTGTATCCTTTTTGATTGTTTTGTTACCAACTACATCTTTTTTACAAAAAAAAATGAGGTGTAAAACTCAAGAAAACTGGACTATGTATTAAAACACCCGCTTTATCACTTCTGGACATGGAAAAAAAACTCACTAAATAACATTTAATTCAGACTTTAATTTCCAAGAAATAAACTCCACAAAGCTTTCTTGAAGAAATTTAAGGGCTGTCAAAATACATGTCTTTATTGTGTTCCATAACACATTATATAACATATAACTACAGCTATCTACTGTTCCGTTTAAAAGTCTATAGTATTGATAAGTGATTCTAATACCACTTTAAAGTTTTCATCTAAAAGAGTTTCAAAAGTTATTTATTTTGATTTATTTACGTGTTCCTTTCTTGTTTCCAGATGAAAATTAATGAGCAATTAAAGCCATCATAGAATTCTATGGTTCACTGATCACATATTCAAAAACACTACAAAATTAATCTATAGTACAGAAGTTTTACATACAACATTTATCTAGAATCAGATTGTTTAAACAACACCTTGACTTTGAATTTGATACAGAAGCAATTACCATGAACTAAATTCAAATACTACAAGTGAAGATATTCCAGCACAAAGACTTGGATAATTTTGTTTAGATTGTCAATGGTTGACTCATCCAGATTTTCTTCGTTGTCATCCATGGTGTGCCAGACTTCAGGGAAAGGAGAAGCTATCAGATGAAGAACTGGGACACCTGATTCAAGAGAAGAAACTTGTAAGTCAGTACAAATTTCCAGGGCTCAACTAGAAAGTGATATTTGAGAGCAAAGAAAGTGCCATATCTTCTCAAACTCTTGACAATTCATTGTCTCATATGAAAGTGATATTTGAGAGCAAAGAAAGCACCATATTTTATAAGACACTTGATAATTCATTGTCTCATCTTTATGCACATCTTTATGTCTTAAAGTATGAGTATTTCAAGGTTTGTCAAACTAATGTCACTCAATCCATTAAGTGATGCTAAGGCACCTATTGTCTGTGAAGGCTTGTTCTAGAAAGGAAATGGCAAGACCTTGCTGAAATGGAGTTTATACCCTAGTAGAGAAATAAGCATGCACATAAAAGATGCAATCATAGGCAGTGCTAATGTGTTTCAACAATAACTAAATGAGGTATGGGGATAAGGATGGAAGGTAGGCAGCAGAACTGAACAAGGAGCTATATGCAGCCAGAAAGGCCCTCTCCAGAAGCTAACATTTAAATAGAGGCACAAACACAAGAGAAAGCTAGTCAGGCAATGGTGGCAACAATATTCCCAAGTGCAAAGATCATGACATGAGGCTTGCCCTGAGCAGGGAACAGCAAGTCAGCCAATGTGGCCAAATCACGGAAAAAAGTTGAGAAAAGAAGTAGAAGATGATCTTGAAACAGAATCAGAAAATGGAAGAAGCGCTTTTAGGCACAGTAAAGATTTTCCATCTTACTCTATAAGGCAGAAAACCAATGGAGCTTTAAAACAGTATTAGCATAATTTGATTTACAGTTTTTTAAAAGATGTTTCTATTTTATGTGAAAAAAATTGAAACGCAATAGTAAAATTCAGAGACCAGTGAGGAGGCAGCTTAAGAGTCACTGAGTTAATTCAGGTTTTCACATCTGGACACAGGTTATCTTTCTTATCAATTAAGCCATATCAAAGTTGCAAAAAGAGCAAAAATATGGCTTAACTTTATGAATGGCAAGGTAGGATGTCAGTGAGTTCTAGGATTTCCTAAACATGTTATGGGTATGGAGAAACAAAGATGTCATCAAGAATTTAGGATGTTGCTCTTCCACCAGCCCTTGGGTAGAGGTGAGTCTGGACCCAATTCGGGCAGCCTCTCCCCTACACCCTCCCCCCAGGGAACTCCCTGGGTTGGCCCTGGATCCCCCTGCTCCTGTGACCTATCCTTATCTAGAGGGTTCTTGTAGCTCAGATTCACCCCCACCCACCCCCACCGCGAGCCTGCCCTCCCCCTACCCTGTGCCCCTGCCCACTGTCCCACCACTCTGGTTAAGCACTGGGACAGAGGGTGGAGCCAACAGTCCACACAACTTCGGGGAACTTCTCGGAGTGGCTCTGAACACAGGAGATCTGCCTATCCACGCGGGACCACCCGTAATTAACACCTGCTTGGTCTCGGACCCCCCAACACTGGTCCTCTACTGGAGTCCCGGGCCCCTCCCAGAGATCCGCCCTGAGTTCCTGCCAGCAGGATCTTTGACCCCCATAGCAGGGCCACTGCTAAAGAAGCCTCAGCTAGATCTGCCTATAGACACAAGGAACATCCAAAGTCCCAGCCTTCAGGATCTTTGACCCCCATCACCAGTCTTCTACTGGAGCCTGATTGCTACCCATCCCTAGGCCCCTGCCTGTGGAGAGACCTCCTAGAGAGCTTGAACCACCCAGAGCTACAGATATCGAAACTCTGACCCACATAAGCCCTCCGGGGAAGTACCATAGAGAGAGGGAGAGACCCCAACAACACCTACTGGAAGAAGATATGGGAAGACAGCAATACAAGAAAACACTTAACAACAGAAAGACAAGCATGACACCACCAGAATCTAGGGAATCTACACCAACTAGACCCGGACACAACAACAAAGCAGATGAAGCAGAAGGGAACGACTTAAAAATTTGTAGAGAGCTGTGAAGTGCCACACCTTAAAGATGGCGCTGGCTTCTGCCCTCCACCTTCCCGATGGTGAGTGCTCTCTGTATTAAACAATTCCATATTTGGCTAAAAGCTGAGAATCTGGCTTGCTTCTGTGTATGTGGACCTGTCTGTTTTTGTTTTTCACCGCATGGCATTCTGGGGTTGACTGCCCAAGGGCTTTTAAGCTCTGGGCTGGGCTGCCCCAGGGGTCAGAAGATTATACAAGGTTCCTGAATAAACTGTTTAAAGAAGAGTCGGGGGTTGCGTTTTCTTTGCTGGTCAAAGTAGACGCGACAGGTGTTGGCCCTGTATGGGGAAACCTCTCATTGAAGACTCAGAACTCTCAGCAGTCAGGGTAAGTGCACTGTTAGTTCCCGGTTAAAGTGGGAATCCGCGTCAAAAGCGGGAAAATCCCAACAAAAGCGGGTGTCAGCTCTCTCTGTAAATAAAGAGGGAGCGGGAAGTTCCACAACAAGAACGGATAATTTGCTCTTCTTGGTAAACAAAGAGGGAGCGAGAAAAGTTCGCTGAGCAGCGAACCAAAAGTAAAAGCTTAAAAGGAAACTTTGCTAGTTTAGCAATGGGCGCTTCTCAATCGCACCCAATTTTTTTGGCTCTGAATAAGCTGCTTCGTTCTAAGAATTTAAAGATTAAGAAGAGAAATCTAGAGAGATTCCTCCAGGAGGTTGAGAGGGTTGCTCCCTGCTGTTATGGTAATTTAACCATTAGTTGCTGGGACAAGCCTGGGAAAAACTCAGACTTTGCCTGGGAACAGGAAATGTTGAGACCAGGGACAAGACCAATGTGGAGATTTATTCGCAGCTGCTTAGAGGATCAAAGATCCTGCAGGGCTGTTGAAAGGGGGCCAGAAGTGTTAGAACAGTTGAAAGAAGTCAGAAAAGGAAAGCTCTGGGGAGGGTGGCTCAGAATCAGAGGAGGAGCTGGAACCGCCTCCTCCTCCACTCAATGTAACTTCTTTGTTAGATGATCCTGGAGAGCAGTCTTTCTGCCCAGAGGTCTGGAAGGAGGTTAAACATGAATTTTGTTCCAAGCCTTGTTCCCCTAGACAGGGCTTGAGTTTTTCCTAGAGGCATTCCCATTACTTGGAAAACAGATGAGCCAGTATGGGTTCCTCAGTGGCCACTTTCCTTTGAGAAATTGAATGCTGCAAAAGAACTCGTGGCTGAACAACTGTCCTTGGGACATATTAAACCTTCAGTTTCTCCATGGAATACTCCCATTTTTGTGATTAAAAAGAAATGTGGAAAATGGCGTCTGTTACATGATTTAAGAGCAATTAACAATCAGATGCAAATTATGGCCCCAGTACAACAGGGCTTGCCACTGCTATCATCCTTGCCAGCCTTCTGGCATATAATTGTTATTGATATAAGAGATTGCTTTTTCTCTATTCCCCTGTGTAGCAAGGATAGTGAGAGATTTGCCTTTACTGTTCCATGTTATAATCATGAGGAACTGGATCAAAGATTTGAGTGGGTAGTTCTGCCACAAGGCATGGCCAACAGCTCTACTATGTGCCAACTTTATGTTGGAGAAGCTATTGGCCCATTAAGAAAAGAATTTCCTACTTTAAGATGTATTCATTATATGGATGATATACTATTGACTGCAAAGGAAGAACAAATGTTGGAGTGGGCTTATATAGATTTAGTTAAATTGATTGAAAAGAAAGGGTTGTTTATAGCCCCTGAAAAGGTTCAGAAAGATAAAGTTGTAAATTATTTAGGAGCTAAGATTAGTGAGAAACAAATTATACCACAAAAGGTAGAATTAAGAAGAGATAATTTGAAAACCCTAAATGATTTTCAAAAATTGTTAGGAGATATAAATTGGATTAGATGTTATTTGAAATTGCCAAATTATGAATTAAAACCTTTGTATAATATTTTGATTGGAGATTCTGCCTTAAATTCTCCTAGACAATTAACTGTAGAGGCAACAAAGGCTTTACAGATGGTAGAAGAAAGACTACAGAGCGCCTTTCTACAGAGGTTTACAGAAGGTCAAGACATTGTTATGTGCATTCTTCCTACATATTATCAACCCACAGGCTTGTTATGGCAAGAGGGACCGCTACTTTGGGTTTAACCTAAAATATGTCCCGCTAAATCTATTGAACATTATCCCACTGAGGTGGCTAAATTAGCCTTGAATGGAATCCAACAATGTTTGCAATATTTTGGAGTCGCTCCAAATATAGTTATAGTGCCCTATTCCAGCCATCGAGTTAAAATTCTTTGTGCCACAGTAGATGATTGGGCCATTTTGCGGTGTGGATTTGATGGCAATATAGATAATCATTACCCTAAGCATCCATTATTGGGATTTTTTAAGGAATATCCTGTAATATTTCCCAAGGTAACATCATCTGAGCCTATTTCAACGGCTCCAAATGTATTTACAGATGGCTCTAAGACAGGCGGTGGAGCCTACATGATAGAAAGACAGGAGCCTGTGTTGCATCAGTTCCAGCCTGGCTCCCCTCAGTTTGTAGAATTAAAGATAGTAGTAGAAGTCTTTAAGGCTGTCCTTTTGCTTTTAATCTGATATCTGATTCAGCTTATGTTGTCAATACCATTAAGGTTTTAGAAGTGGCTGGACCTATAAAGAGTGCCAGTCTGGTTTGCCTTTTATTTCAGCAATTACAAAATTTAATTTGGCAAAGGAAAACTTGATTTTTTGTTCAGCATGTTAGAGCTCATACAGGTCTGCCAGGGCCTTTAAGTGGAGGTAATGATAAAGTTGATCAGTGGACTAGGATGGAATGCATATTTTTGAGTTCTACCTTAGAAAAGGCAAGGAATTTTCATAAGACTTTTCATGTAAATGCTAGAGCTTTACAACAAAAATTTCATCTTTCTCGAGCAGATGCTCAACAAGTGATTCTGGATTGTCCTCAATGTGTGATTCATCAACACCCACCCAGTATAGGAGTAAATCCAAGGGTTTTGCTCCCTCTAAAAGTTTGGTAAATGGATGTAACACACATATCTGATTTTGGAAGCTTAAAGTATGTACATGTGTCTGTGGA